CTATTCTATTCATTTCTATTCTTATTTCTATTCTATTCTTATTTCTATTCTATTCTTATTTCTATTCTATTATCTAACATTACAGGCGGAAGCTTTCCAAACGACCGTTCCTGAGGGGGCGGGGGGCGGGGCGGTCAGCACCTGCCCCTTAATTAAGGCAGAGAAGGAAGCCAGGCAGAAGCACAAGAAAGCAAATTGCTAATCCTCAGGCTGGCCTGCCAAGAGTGCCAGCCAGAAGGAAATTAGCAAGTCCAGGAAAGAGCCAGTAAGGGATTTTCCCAGCCTAGACTGGGGGAGGAGGAGGAGGAGGGGGAACTGTTGGTGGTCTCTGAGCTGGATTGTTTTCTTGCAGACGTTTCATGAACCAACTAGGGAACATCATCATTGCTAGAAAGGAATGGGTTTTGTGGAGAGAAGGGAGGAGGAGGAGAAATAGTGCAGGGTCTCCTGCCTGAGCAGGGGGTTGGACTAGAAGACCTCCAAGGCCCCTTCCAGCTCTTGCTGTTCTGTTATTCTCTGAGCTTGATGGTTTTCTTTCGTGACATGACTAAGGAGCATCATCAGTGTTAGAGAGAGCATGCGAAGAGGAGGAAGAGGAGTATGGGGTCCTTGGTGGTTTTCTTGCAGACGTCTCATAACCCAACTAGGGAATGTCATCAGTGCTAGAAGGCGGGTGGGGGTTTGCAAAGAGGAGGGGGACAGGGAGGATGTGGGGTCCAATGTTCTCTTGGTTGTTTTCTTGTAGGCGTTTTGTGACCCAGCTAGGGAACGTCATCCGTGCTAGAAGAGGTTGTGGAGGAGGAAGGAGAGGAAGAGGAAGGAGATGATGCAGGGGGTGGGGAGGATGACCAGGCAGGCTCCAGCAAGGTGGGATTTCAAACCTCCCTTTGAACGAGGTCCCCAGATGCCCCGCTAAACCCCCAAGGCAGCCATTATCCATCCCAAACACTCCATAGTTCACCAGCCTCCTGGCTTTGCCTTCCAACGAAGGGACCACGCAGCTTGCATGGCTGCCTGGTTGGGGAGGGGCAGGCAGGGGGCCAGCCAGACGTGGGACGTACCCCAACATGCCCCCCCAACACCATTGAAGATCCAGAGTTGCCCAGGTGACCAACACCTTCAGTGGGAAAGTGGGAGGGTCCTTATCGTTGTTTGCAAAGTTTGCATTTGACTTACAAATACTGAAGCCAGCCACTCTAGAGAGGCCCACTGAGAAGGTGAATGCCATTTGAATTATTGTTATTTTTTAAAACTCGGGTTGACCTGCCGAGAACCACACTTTTAGTCCACGCAGGTGTATTGCAATTGCAATTGTAATTATTTTAACTCTAACTGGCCCGAGTGTTCTTCTGATTATTGCATTTAAATCTAGCTTAATTGTTTGCCATGTGAGACATTATGATTATTTTTAACTTCACTGAGCTCTGTGCGTCACCCACAGTCACACGCCAGGGAAGATGGATGGCCTTAGAAATTTAAGAAATACTATTTTACTCCTCATTTAACAAAATCTGCTACTCACCATTATTGGAGTGACGAGAAGGTACCAAATGCAAGACGGAATGTTTTTCTGTGGAGATCAAACACAATTGTAAATAATGGGGATATTATATGGATGACAGCTTAACGATCTGCAAACAGATTTCCTCACTTAAGTATTTAAAATTCTTTTCTGTTTTTTAAAGGTGGGAAACTGATGCTGTTGTAATATATTAATCAGCATTCAACTACGCAGGACAATACATGCGTGTATGTGCTACTCCCTTTTTTAAGTGCACTTTTCCCCTTTTAATGTCATGTTTTTTCTTTTCTTTTTTTTTTAAAAAAATGGGTGTTTTGTATTTTACCTTTTTTTGGAATAAAATAAAATTAAAATTTAAAAAATGGGATTTAACTGAAAAGACGAACAAGGCCCTCTGCATGTACTCCCCTCATTGATGGCTGCTGTGAACCCTGTCAGGTTGAACCCAGCACAGGAAATACTTCTTAAAACCATGTTTCTCAAACTGGTTACATGAACTGAAGACTTAGTATAACCATGATGGTTTGTTCCTGATCTAACTCTTTTTTTTTTTGTCCCGGAATTTCTCCAGCCGCCAAATGTTTCGGCATGGATACGACGAGAAGAAACGCAATTTATTTGTTTGATGGGGGAACTTGCTTAATAGACGGTGGGAATGCGGTCGACGTAATATACCTTGACTTTTTAAAAAAAGTGGGAGAAAAAAATAACCCACGGCAAGCTAAATCCGTGACGGGGAACCTATGGCACCCCGGCCAGGGGTGGCAGGCAGAGCCCTCTCGGTGGCCATGCGCACCATCGCCAGCTGGTCTTCTGGTTTCTGGTGCACACATGAGCGCCGGCTGGTCTTCATGGGCACCAGAGCGCCGGAAAACGGCCTGAAAATCAGCCAAAACACCAGGCTGTTTTCGGGCCTTTTTCAGGCCATTTTGGGGCCGTTTCTCAGGCCATTTCCAGACCTGTTTTCAGGCTGATTTTGGCCATCTTTTGGGACGTTTCTCAAGCTGTTTTGGGGCCTTTTATAGGCCATTTTCAGGCTGGTTTTAGTCCCAAAACCACCTGAAGAATGGCCTGAAAACAGGCCATAAAGAACCCCGAAAACGGCCCAGAAAATGGCCTGAGAAACGGGCCAAAAACCAGCCAAAATCGGCCTGGAAACAGCCTGAATCCTAAATTACATTAACAGAGGGATATAATCAAGATCAAGGGAGGTACTAATACCCCTCTATAAAGCCTGAGTAAGGCCACACCTAGAGTATTGCATCCAGTTTTGGTCACCACATTATAAAAAAGATGTTGAGACTCTAGAAAAAGTGCAGAGAAGAGCAACCAGGATGATGAGGGGACTGGAGGATAAAACATGTGAAAAACAGTTACAGGAACTGGGCATGGCTAGTCTAGGGAAGAGAAGGACCAGGGGAGACATGATAGCAGTCTTCCAATACTTGAGGGGCTGCCACAGGGAGGAGGAAGGGGTCAAGCTATTCTCCAAGGCCAGACAAGGAACAATGGATGGAAACTGATCAAAGGAGAGATTCAACCTGGAAATAAGGAGAAACTTTCTGACAGGGAGAACCCTCAACTGATGGAACAGAAGTTGCCCTCAGAAGTTGTGGGAGCTTCATCCCTGGAGGCTTTCCAGAAGAGACTAGACTGCCATCTGTCAGAAATGGTGTAGGGTCTCCTGCTTGGGCAGGGGGGTTGGACTAGATGACCTACAAGGTCCCTTCCAACTCTGATTATCTGTTATCTATTATTTTTCTCATAACAGCCTTTTCTAAAGACCATCAAAACGACACAAAGCACGGCAAGCTCTCCCACCCAGAAATTTAAAACTCTGCAAAATTGCAAAATCATGCAAAATTTGGGCTAAACCTGTCTCGTTGGGTCAAAAAACGCTTCTCGGGATTTTTGGTGCTAAAAACCTTTTTCCAGAGGCAATATCGGAAGCCCTGCAGGATCGAGATGCCTTTGTTTTCTTTTTCACGGGCCGTTTGTGGCACGTCACAACTCTGGAGGCACACAAAAGGACACAATGTTCTCATCATTTTTTCTATCACTTTCACTTCCCTTCTTTCCAACCCTGTAATTTTTGCTCCGTTCTGCTGCAAAAAAGTTTAGTTGTCTGGACCAAAATTGTCGCTTGGAGAGAGTGTGCAATTCTGGTTGCATGTGTGCAGGGGTGGGATTCTACCAGTTCGCACCTATTCGCTAGAACCGGTTGTTAATATTCTAAGCAGTTCGGAGAACCGGTCGTTAGAAGAAATTACTGGACTAATCCTGTAAGGAAGGCAGGAAGGAAACATTCTGGTGTTGCTTACAGAAACTGCCTCTCTGTTAACCCTTATTTCATTCTTGGCAGGACTAGACTTCCTGTCTCAGGAATGTCTCTGGAGTTATTTTTCCCTCGTTTGTTGGTACTTTGCTTGTGTGGAGGGACCATTCAAAGTTACAATGGCACTGAAAAAAGTGACAAAAGTTTTTCACGCTTACAACTGTTGCAGCATCCCCACAGTCATGAGAGGCCAGGCGAGGAGATGCGTGCCTCGATGTGATATTGAGTTGGCCACACCCAGCCAATAACATGACCACCAAGCCATGCCCATCACCTAAGCCACGCCCACAGAACTGGTTGTTAAAAAATTGAATCCCACCCGTGTGTGTGTGTGTGTGTGTGTGTTGCAGGTTGGACAGGGCTGGCATTGACCTAGCCTCCTTTTGCAAGACTGTTGAGAGCAGAATAAGAGAAGAACAGAAGAAAAATACGAGAATAACAGAAAGATAAGAGAATAACAGAAGAAGAATAGAATAGCAGAGTAAAAGGATAATAGAAGAATAACAGAATAACAGAAAAATAATAGAATAGAAGAATAAGAGAAAACAAGAATAGAAGAACAGAATAGTAATAATAGAATAACAGAAGAATAAGAGACTAGCAGAAGAATGAGAGAATAATAGAATAGAATAACAGAAGAATAATAGAATAATAATAATGGAATAAAAGAAGAATAAGACAATCAGAACAATAGAATAGTAGACTAATAATAATAGAAGAATAATAGCAGAAGAATAAGAGAATAAAATAATAGAATAACAGAAGAATAAGACAATCAGAAGAATAGAAGAAGAATAGAATAACAGAATCAAGGAAGAATAGAATAAGAGAAGAACAGAATAACAAAATAAGAGAATAACAGAAGACTAGAAGAATAACAGAATAACAGAAGAATAGAAGAAAAATAGAACAAGAGAATAAGAGAAAGCAGAAGAATAACAGAATTACAGAAGAGTAAGATAATAACAGACTTGGAAGGGAACTTAGAGGTCTTCTAGTCCAGCCCCCTGCTCAGGCAGGAAGCCATACGCCATTCCAGAACCAATGGCTGTCTAATCTCCTCTTAAAAACCTCCAGTGTTGGAGCACCCACAACTTCTGGTGGCAAGCAGTTCCAAAGGTTAGTTGTTCTCCTTCTTAGGATGTTTCTCCTCAATTCCAGGTTGCTTCTCTCCTTGATGAGTTTCCACCCGTTGCTTCTTCTCCTGCCTTTGGGGCTTTGGAGATGGGCACCTCTCAAGTTGGCACTGTGCGGTTGGGTCGCCTGGATCAACACCAACTGTGGTTCTTTGCTGTAATGTTGTGGTTTCTGTTCTTTTACCCAGACTTCTTTTAATAGCACACCTGGTTGCTTTTATTACGTTATACGCTGCCCAGGTTTGTCCAGGCTCTGTAGTTTGACAATAAATTGAGTAAAATAACTTCACCCCATGAAGGATAAAAAAGGACTGGGGGTTGGTGGGATGTGATAGCAGCCTTCCAATATTTGAGGGGCTGCCCCAAAGAAGAAACTGACCGAGGAGGTCAAGGTCCCTTCCAATTCTCTGATTCTGTTCTGCAATGAAGGCAACCTAACTTTTAAAAGACCAAAAAAAAAAAAATTCCTGGGAAAAGGTTGGGGCTCTAAAATCACACACACACACACACACACACAGAGAGAGAGAGAGAGAGAGAGAGACAGAGAGACAGAGAGACAGAGAAAGAGAGAGAGAGAGAGACAGAGAAAGAGAGAGAGAGAGAGAGAGAAAGAGAAAGAGACAGAGAAAGAGAGAGAGACAGAAAGACAGAGACAGAGAGAGACAGAGAAAGAGACAGAGAGAGAGACAGAGAGAAAGACAGAGAGAGACAGAGAGAGACAGAGAAATAGTTACACCATGTTGTTCTTTCTAAGTACGGTCTACTCACTGCGGGGACGAGGTTCTTGTTGAAGGTTTTTCGCCACATCCCTTGTCCATCTCGTCCTTCGCACGTGGGCCACCGGGCCGCCAACATCCCTCTGAAAGCCAGAAGAGCGACCTCAGCAGTCCTACCTGTGTACCTGTATGGCAGGTTGAACTCCAAAGCAGCAGGGGCTTGGTGGGTAGGAAGAGCAAAGCACGCCAGGACTCTGGTTGCCTTGGGGAGAAAGAGTAGCGGAGGAGGGCGGGGGGGGCTGGGCTGCTACTGGTTCGCCCCGGTTGATGCGAACCGGTTGCTAATTTTATCATTTTTAATGACTGGTTCTGCAAACTGGCAAATCCCACCCCGGTTGGCCCTGCCCACCCCAGCCTGCCCCTCCCAGGCCAGGAGACCCCAGGCAGCCCATTTTGGATGCCAGGTAAACACAGGGCCCATGCAGAGGCTCAGGGAGGGTGAAAAACGGGCCTGCCAGGGGCTCAGGAAGGGCGTTCGGAGCCTGGGGAGGCCATTTTTGCCCTCCCAGAGGGTCAAGGAAAACAGAGAGCCAGTTGCTAAAATTTTTGAAGAGGAAGAGGGTTGCCAGGATTGGAAGTGGGGCGGGGGAAGAGGGGGTGCCGAGGAACCTTGATTGACACTTGGGGGCATTTCAAGGTTGCAAATTAGCTCATTCAGTGCTGTGGACTTCAACTCCCCAAATTCCCCAGATAGCATTAAAAAAAAAAAACCACTTGCTGTCGTTCGTTTAGTGTCCATTCAGAGTCCCAACAGCACAGAAAACAGTGACTTAGGACCATGTTTCACCCTTATGACCAACCGTCACAGCATCCCCCGTGGTCCCGTGATCGAAATTCAGACCCTTGGCCACTGACTCATATTTAGGACGGATGCAGTGCCCCGAAAAGGGGTGTGTGTCACGCGATCTCTCTTTGGCACCTTCTGTACAGCTACAGGTTTGCTTAACGACGGCGTGATTGACTCAACCCCTGCAGCGATTCGCTGAACGACGGCGGCCCCAAAAGGTGGCAAAACGGGGCAGGGGGAATTTTGCACCTGGGGACAATTTCAAAGCTGCTTCCGTCATGATTGAAATCTGGTGGTTTTTTTTTTTTTTTAACTCCAAAGTGCCGGAAGATAAAGTTCAAAGAGAAAAAAACGGAAGGAGATAAGGGAAGGTTAGGAAAGAAAACAAGGCTGGCTTGGAGAGGATTCAAACTCCCGGATTCCTCCTGGCCACGTGCCAGCGTGCCACGGCCTTTCTGACCGGCACTCTCAAGAAAGGAAAATCTTTATCAAACGTGTTATAGGTGGCGCTTGCCACCATGCAGGATTAGCAAAAACATTTAGCAACAACATGTCCGCCAAGTGTTGGAAATCTAATCGGACTTTAGGTACTTATTATCTCATGTGGTGGACATGACTGAAAGCAAGAAAATATTGGACAGAAATAGATACGCGGTTGGAAAAGACAATCAAGCAACATTACAGATCTGATATTTTGGTCGGGTATAATGTCCAAGGAGAGCTATGATATATGCCTAGTTTTGCATGTATTGATAGCTGCAAGGATTTTATTTGCGCAATACTGGAAAAAAAAAACGAGAACACGCCATCCGAGGAGGATGTAATTTGGACAATATTAGACCTGTGCAAAGATGGATAGATCGACATTAAAAAAAAATAAAGGACAAAGAAGACACAACTATTACTGAACATGGAATAGATTTTTACGAGTAGTTAGAGATAAGAGGTAGAAATTAGATGAAGAGAGATTTTGCAGAGTATGAACTAGATATCATGATGGTTTATAAATGTGCCAATATAACCAACGGAGTTACCAATAAGCTAATGGAAAGATAAATCTAGTTAAAACTATTCTGTTACACTATTACTAGTGTTATTGGGATATATGTTAATATTCCCTTTCTGTTCTTCCTTTGCTGTTTTTTAAATGGTATGCTCTGACGATACACTCTATTCAAAATGTTGATCAATAATAATAAAAATATACATTAAAAAGGGGGAGAGAGAAAGAGAGAGAGAGAGAGAGAGAGAGAGAGAGAGAGAGAGAGCTAAATGGCTGCCACAAAACACAGGCAATGGCTCTCTCCTTTTGCACTTGGCACATGATCAGAGGTCCTTTATTTCCCTTCGCGAGGCATACTCCCCCTCCGTCTTTGCATATATCTGACGGGTGGGATTCTGCCCAGCAAAGACACATATCGGAGAGCTGAGGAAATCATTCATTTTGCCCTGCCTAGAAGTTGAATTTGCAGAAAGAGGGAAAATATCTGCCAATTCTCCAAAAGTCGAGAAATGGATAGAAAAATTGTGCAACAAAAAATTCCTTTTTTCTTGTAAGGTGTGTGTTTGTGGGGATCATAACCTCATCCGAAGGTTTGCAGAGTCAGTGAAATGGCCCCTCCCATCCAGAAAAATGCCCCCTCCCTCCCTCCCCCCGGCCCACTTGCCCCGCCCCCATCACTCCACGATCCCAAATTTTCTCGGAAAACAGAAATTTTAAGCTAAGCCAAGATAGTTTGGCTGCAGAGACAAAATGAGGGGAAAAAAATAGCACCGCTTTTTGCTCCAAAACCACTGTGTCAGATTTGCTCCTGCCTGCTGGATTCCAAAACCCATCTTCCACCCCCCACTGTCTGGCTGGGGGATGATGGGAAGGTGGTTTGCTATCCTGTTCTTGGATTGGGGGGGGCAGCGAGAGTGCCTTATGGATCCCAAGTTGCGTTTCTGCCTTGCAAATTCACTACCGGAGGTGCATTTAAGTCCGGTCTAGAATTGCACAAATGGAGTGTGTGTGTGTGTGGGGTGGGAATGATGTCAGAGGCCCCCCCCCCGGAGCCCTCGAGGGGGCCCTACCCGCCTTCTGCAGAGCCCCCCTCCCTACCTGCCGTAAGTCGGAGGCATCCCGTTGTCCATCCGTTCCGGGGGCTTGACACACTCCTTCCCTCCGTAGAATGGCCAGCTCCTCTTTCAAGATTTCGAGGCTGGCTTGGATGCTGAACAGCATGAAAAGACAAGCCAGCAGGCCCACTGCCAGGGCCCCCACGACGGCCCAGGGAGTTGGGGGGCGCTGCCTCACCCCACAGGAATCCAGCCCCGAGAAGGGGCTTAACCCACCCCTCCAAATCTTGAGAGGTATCATTCTTTCCAGTTTCTTCCCGGGTCGAGGTTTCTCCTGCCCCACAGAGGCCAAATCCTGCCTCGCAGAGCTCAAACCCACAGAGGACCCTACATCGGAGACCCCCGCCGTCCCCCAAAGCGGGAGGATTGGCCCAGGGCTCCTCATCGCCCCCTTGGATTTAGTCTCCCAGATCATTCCGGTCCTGCAACCGCAACCTTTGCCTAGGGGTCTGCCCGGTTTGGGGCGAGGTTGTGCCCCAGTTCCGGAAGGATTTGCATGGCAAGGGTCCCCAGACATGACTGGTATCCCCCTCCCCACACACCCCAAAGTCACCGCCTGGCAGAAGGAACGTGCACCATCTGGACTTTGGCGTCTCCTGGCTGCAGGCTGGAGAGGTCTGGTTGTGCCCCGGGTGTAGACCGCATGGGTCTGTGTGCCCACGGCGGCTGTTTGCAAGGGGAAGAGGGGCCTCGCCCGCCGCTGGCCCACCCACCCTGAGGCCTCCCCCCCCTGCACCCCTCCTCAGCTTCCTGGACACCGGGCTTTCCCCCTGCAGAGAGGAGGCGAAGTGGGTTGCCAAAGGCCAAGTGAAGTTGTGCAACGGATTGAGGAAGCTAGGCAGGAGCTGTGCCCGCCCCGCTTGGAGAGCCGCCAAGTGGCAGTCAGACACCACATCCTGGCATCTTCCAGGCTTGGCGAGGGCCTGGCTGGCTGCTCCCAGGCGTGGCCACTTCCCGGCACCCAGACCTCGGGATCGCCTGCTAATCCCAGAAAGCCAGATTCCCAGGACGGCTGCCAAAGAAGACTTGGATGGGCTCCCTTTAAGGAAGGAGGCCTTTGCGTGCCCTTTCCCAGTGAACCTCCGGTTCCGAGAGGCCAAGGGGGCCCGGGGGGGGGGGGGGGGCTCTGACCGCGTCCCTGTGGCACGTCCCAAGTCGCTGCAACGGAGCAGGCATGGAGGGAAGCGGAGATGGCCGGCCATGGAACAGAATAACAGAATTGGAAAGCACCTGGGGACTCTTCTAGTCCAAATATTCTTGGCTGCAGGGCTAGGAAAAAAAGTTATTTTTTTTTTAAAAAGAAGTTGTTGGGAAGGTTTTTGCTGATGTCTATTTTGTATGTACCACGTTTTCCCCGAAAATAAGACTGGGTCTCATATTAATTTTTGCTCCAAAAGACGCGTTAGGGCTTGTTTTCCAGTTAGGTCTTATATTGGGGAAATATGTGGTTCTAATGCAGCCCTCCGGCTGACAATCTTAACCGGGGCTTATTTTCTGGGTAGGGCTTATTAATATAAGAGCATCCTGAAAAATTCACGCTAGGGCTTATTTTCCAGTGGGGTCTTATTTTCAGGGAAAAGGGCATATACATCCTGTTTCCCTGCAAATAAGACCCACTGGTATATATACGTGTTTGTGTGTGTGTGTGTGTGTGTGTGCGTGTGTGTGTAAACATCCAGCATGCAAAAAAAAAGAGAAGTTTTGAGACCAGACTGAGAAATCCCCAGTTCTGCTCCTCCTCGTCTGGAAGACCAGGGAGGGCCACAGCTTTAACCACAGCCCACCAGCTGACACCCATGTCGGCTAGGAACATGGGATAAGGGTTACTCAGCCAACTTGGTGAGAAGTTACCTTAAATAACATTGTCCAGAGGACAGAGTGGTTTTATTTTATTTTTCTTTCTCTCTCTCTCTCTTCTCTTCTCTCTCTCTTCTTTCTCTTCCTTTCTTTCTCTCTCCTTCCTTCCTTCCTTCCTTTCTGAGGGCAGAGTGGTACTTCTTTTTCTTTCTTTCTTTCTTCTTTCTTTCTTTCTCCCTTTCTTTCTTTTCTTTCTTTCTTTCTTTCTTTCCTTTCTCTTTTTTCTTTCTTTCTTTTCTTTCTTTCTTCCCTTTCTTTCTTTTCTTTTCTTTCTGTGTCTTTTTTTCTTTTTTCTTTCTTTCTTTCCTTTCTCTTTTCTTTTTCTTTCTTTCTCCCTTTCTTTCTTTTCTTTCTGTCTGTCTGTCTTTCTTTCTTTCCTTTCTCTTTTCTTT